CGGCCACCATTCGACCCCTGCCAAACGCCACCCCTGGCATTACTTCTTAGTATGCAAAGTGCCGTCTTTGCATTTCGGCCCAAGTTCCACTTTGTTGGCTTTTTCATTTCATTTGCCAGTATTGGGTGTATTGAATAGAAGTGGATAACATACACCCCACCCTCTTGAATTCAAAAAAAAAATATAACACATTACACACATGGACATACATACATATATAATATAATTTATTTTTCTGCAAAAGATGATAGTTTTTCAAGTTCAATGGCCTGATTTTGGATTTCGAGGGATAACAAAAATCGATAAGAATAGATCATATTTGAGTGAAAAGTTTATTAAAGATTAACAAGGCTAATATTTTATTTGAGAACTTTTAAACTTTCTTTTACATCATTTAAAGATTAATAAACTTGTAAAAGGTTCTTTGAAAATAGACATACTAAGACATGCATGTTCGTTACCTACCTAGACGGCAGGCAACTGTGATATTTCAAATATTAAGTATACGCCTAGTCTGACAACTTCTTTGTTTAAACTTTAAATGCTTTGGTCTAATCTCTTAGTTTATAATTCCTCAAAAACTATATATTTTTATATTATTTTGATAGAATATCTTTAAGATTTAAAAATACCAAGCTCCAGACTTTTATTTTCAGATTCGTGAGAGAGAATTTTTATGACGGTTCTGCTTTTGAAATCGCCATTTCACACAAAATATCCACTTTCCATGGTGGTCGAAAACTGCGTGTTGACACACTTTGGGGTTCTGGCCACCAATGTTTCCCGCTTTCTTTATTTTCTTTGGCTGCTTTTTTTGTTGGTTATTTTGTCTGTTTGGTGTAAATCCAATCGGAGCAGAAACGCAACAATGTCGGCACGTACGCGCTGTGCTAAATATTTCAACACGATTCAACAAACTACTCACTTAGCCGTCTGAAATAAAAAAACGAAAGCTCAGCTTTCCCCCCCTCCTCTTCCGCTCTCTTCCTCACTATCTAAATATAAAAAAAAAAAAAAAATAAAATATATATGTATATATAAACATGTAGAAAAAAAGCAAAGCACAGAGCATGACCCATAGCTAGCATTTGCACTGCATTTAAAAAACATTTGCGGTTTTTACGCTTAATCATCGTCAGCCCAGTGGGTGGGTTTCTGGTCCTGTTTTTGGTCCTGCTCCTGCTCCCGACATCATTGCCGAGATAGAAATTCCCAGCACGCCTGTATATATTAATAAAAATGCATTAGTTCACATTTATTTTCGACATAAAACGTGTAAAAAGTAAGCAAGCCAGTCGACCAGACAAAGAAGGCGCTAAACGCCGCCAGAAAGAGATGGAGCTAGAAATGGAGATAGAGACAGAGACAGAGTGCCCCGGGGGGCAGCTTGAAGAAGATTTCATTCACCCGTGGGCATATCCTTTTAAAAATGTATATTATATAGAAATTTTGGATGCATTCTATACGGCTTTGAATGGATTATTAAAAACAAATTTCTTTCTTTAGTTTTTTTTTAAAGATTAAAAGTAAAATAAAACAATATTTTAGATAACTAAATTTCAAATTTTGTACGTAAGAGTTTTAAGACTAAATCTACATTTTTTTCATCATATGTTAAGGATTTTGTTTTCTGTTTTTTAAGTTTTTCCAACCTTTTCGTTTATAAATATTTTTCGAGTGCATGTCCTGCTACTAATTTAAAGCTTGGCGACTTTTTCTTTTATTTCAACGCTTGAAAGCAAAATAATGTACATGACACAGCATCGGCCCCGGCTCCGGGCTCCGGGCCCCGGGCATCCCCTTTGTCCGCATACATCCTCCCTTGAACGGACAACCTGTGCACTTTCGCTCTCAGTTGCCACGGCGTGTCTATGCTGGTCGTAAATTTTAGATATTCGCAGCACGTGCAAATTATGTACAATAATAAAAGACAGTGGCGGCGGCGTCTATGCGGGCGGATGGTGTAGGATGCGAGGGGTTGCAAGTAATCCAGAGCGAGAAAGTAAAACGGGAATGGGCGCAAATGCGGCACGGAACTTGTTACAAGTTGTACCCAGACTTTCAGCACTCACTGTATGTCTGTTGATGCCATTTCCTCTTCCCCCGGCCGCCATTTTCTTCTGTGCCGACTGTCTGTGTCTATTTCGCCGAACTGACTGACAAGTACATAAAACATGTCTGCGCCTAAAAGTCTGCTGCATTCCCAATGCCCGGCTGCCCGGCTACCCGGATGCCCAATGCCCGTGCTTGGGTATCGATTGTTTGGGGAAAATTGGAGAAAAATGGAAAAGACCATTTCGCTTTTCTTTGCTTGTCTGCAACAAGTTAAGAATAACTTTCGGTTTTTGGTTTCTTTAGCAGAATAAATGAAAGATTTCTTAGTTAAATAATTAAAATAAAGTGAAGACTAATTTCTCCATTCAAAAACGTGAAATAATTTATTAAAATATATACTTAGAATTAAAAAACAATGTTAACTAGGCCTTGAATTGGTTTAGTTTTAGGCCTCTTATTGGTTTAGTTTTCATTTTACTTTCCTTTTCTTTGAAGCCCTAATTTTGGTCTAAAAATGTTCCAGAATATATTTATAATTGACCAAAATAAATAAAAAGTGTCTAATAGTTAAATATAATTTCTACATACCACAAAATTCATATCATTATATGTTTTATGGAGCGTTTAAAGTATTTAAAAAAAATATACTCTTATTAGTATAGTTTAAAATGTTTTTAAAAACTTTAAAAGGTAATGGTCTAACAATTACTCATTTATTTCAAAAAATTTCTTATTAAATTGACATGTTTATTTTATTTAAAAAACCCTTCATTTTAAAATGCCTTCAACCCCTTTAGCAAAAAACGCATTTATAATACAGATGATGATATTAAATAGTCTTTTGGAATAAACAAGATGAATTTATGACCCACTTTATGCCGTTTATGAGTGGAAAAGTTTCTACTTTTCTACAGTTTTGATTACCCCGGGATTACCTGATGGTCCTGCTGACATTGACTGTCCCAGGACAACCATTCCAGGACCGGCAGGACTCTCCCCGTCAGGTGCTAAGCACAATCATTGAGTTGCGTCCCCGAGGTGTTGCACAATATTTACGCCGAAATTTGTTGGGAAACTTTTTCTGGGCATTTGTCATGCCCGTAGGCGGTCTTCAACAAAAATTGTATAATTGCTTCAATATTTTTAGGGGGCGTGTGTTGTCGCCGTATTTCTGGTGTTGGTTACACGTTCCCACCAAAGCACCAAAACACCAAAGCACCATAACAAATTACTTAGGTCATCAATTATGAGGTGAGGCGACACTGGCACCTTTGCCGGCTTCTGGTTTGCTTCTGTATCTGTGTCTGTCTCTGTTGTTTCTGGTTTGTTGGTCTCTCGTCTCATGCCGCTGATGCTTTTATTGCTTTCATTATGATTTCATGCCGCACGAGGCACGTTCCAAGACCCCATCCCCTTCCCCACCTATATTGCCACCGGGAAATTCCCCGATTTCCGAGTTACCCAAATTCCGGGCACTTTGATGCTGAATACTGACGACCATTTGTCTAACCCAGGTATTTTGAGGGCGGCTTGTTTAATAATGTTATCTTTTATTTATAAAGCGTAACTTTTTGTTTTTCGTTTAAACTTTTTCGTTTCCACATCCTCCGTCCCCTCCTTTTCAAAATTGGTGTGGGAGTTTTTCTCGAAATATAATTGCATTTGATGTTTATGACAGGCTATGAATTTTTTTTAGGCCTTAGGCTTGGCCTAAATCAATACTCATTTAATCAAAAAAATGGTGTTCTCTGGTTTAAACGTTTTATTTTAAAGGGTCTTGAACCATAAAGGGTTGACCACAACCAAAAAAGTATACATTTATACATATGTACCTTTTTTAACTAAAATTTGGAACACACATTTCAAATATGAATCGGTTTAATTTTTCTTATAATAATTTAAATGATTTATTCAATGATTTTATTCTGGAACTAACGTGTTTCTTTTTATTATACCCCCTACAACCTTGGCAATATTTTTCAAATTCAAAAATGTTCTCTAAATTATGTAAATTGTGGTAGCTCTTTGAGTACGAACATAATCAACCAAAATCTAGTTGTATATATCCTGTATCCTGTAATATTGTGCCTAATTTTTTGGCCAATTTGTCATGATTTTAACCAAAAATTATGCTGCTATTCTTTGGTTTCACCTAAGGATGTAGATCTAATGGCATTGGAGCTTTGATTCATAAACGGTTTGACTAAGTTATAATAGCTAAAAATTTTAAAATCTGCTTATATTTTGTAATGAAAACCAAAATACCAGTAACAATGTTCAAATTCTTGTAAAGAAAAAAGTTTCAAACATAAATCAGATCATTTTTGAGCTAGTATGAAGAACAAATTTGAATGTTATACTTTCCAATCTTCAAAGGTTATTATATGTATTTAAAAAATGGCAACTCAAGACCTATTTTTCTAAGGAGATTTCCAAAATTTTGAACAAAAATTCAACAACCCCTTGAGAGTTTATTAAAGTCCTTATTCCTAGACTTCCTTTTGAAGGAAATTTTCAAAAGTTTATGAAAAAAGTCGACCATGAAATTATTTTCTAGATCTTTACGATCTCTTGTTTAAGATAAAATCCATTGAAGCTATTAATTAAGTTATTAAATATAATGAAATAGCCAGAAATATGGATATTATGTAACATATAGCTTATTAGCTAATAATATAGCATATAGCTAAGCTTAAAGTCCCTTCCTGTTTTAAAATAATCTTGAACTTTAAATTCTTCGCAAATCACTTATTTTCAGATAATAATTCAATTAATAATTTATTCAAATAAATTAAACAACTTTTGGCTTAGAAAGTAAACAAAATAAATAAACGGCCAATGGCAAAGTGGGTGGCAAGGCCACGCATAACAAAGTCGAATAGCTGTAGTGGTGCTGGCGGTCCTTCCAGCGCCGCGATTCTCCTTCTCTCCCGCGGACGTTGGGCCTAGTTGGGCCTGTAGGTGTAGTCGCCGCCGCAGTGCTTGTAGCAGAGGTAGCTGGGGCGGGTCCTCCACTTCCGGCAGTATCTGCGGTAGCAGTTGTTAGGACTCGGGGAGGGAGGCCGACTAGTGGGTGGTTGGTTGGTGGGTGGCTGATTAGTGGGTGGCTGATTTGTGGGTGGAGAGTTGGTGGGAGGAGAATTGGTTGGTGGAGAATTGGTGGGTGGAGCATTGGTGGGTGGCGAGTTGGTGGGTGGAGCATTGGTTGGTGGCTCATTAGTTGGCGGGCCATAAGGCGGCTCAGTTGGTGGCTCAGCAGTAGGTGGCGCAACAGTGGGTGGTGCAACAGTGGGTGCTGCAGTGGTTGTTGTTGTGGTGGTAGTGGGTGCTACGGTGGTGCTGCCACAATCATTGGCCAAAGTGCTAATCAGCTGGCTGAGAATATCCACACTGAGCAAGACGCTCAGGTCCAGGTCAATCAGTTGGAAAACTTGATTGTCGTCGCCCACAATCTTGGTGCCAGGACCCTCTGAAAAATGCGAAATTAATTATATTAAGTTATACAAAAATAAACAAATTTTATTAAAAAGAAAACTTACCATCAAGCACATTGCAAACACCACCGCTGCCTTGGATTATGTTCAGGACATCGATGAAGAGAAGGGCAGTTATGTCCAGGTTTATCAAACGGGTGACCTTGTTGTTATTTCCAATGATTATCATTTTAGGCCCGGCTGTAAGTTTAGAATATTAAGAATACATCCCAAAAATGCAGGTTGAATAAATAAAACTTACTGCGAACAACATTGCCGAGTCCCAGGATACCGAGCAGGTCGGAAAGAATAGGAACTTGAGCCAGGACATTGCCATTGATATCGAGCAGAGTGGCAAACACATTGTTGTTGCCCTTGATGAAGACCTCAGGGTCTTGGGAAAGAGAGTTGCCGGCAAAGGTGCCATTTGAAGTAGTAGTGCCAGTACTGGAGGAGCTACCAGAACTTGAAGAACCAGATGTTGTTCCAATGTTGTTGAGCAATCCACTGAGAATACCGCCAGATCCGCTAGCACTGCCGAGGATTCCGCCGAGAAGGCCAGTGCTCGAAGCACTGGAACCACCAAGGACGCCCCCCAGTAAGCCACCCACTGGACTGCCGCTGCCCAGGAGACCGCCGAGCAGGCCACTGACTCCCTTGAGGACTCCGGCCAGCAGGGGCCTCACTATGCCGAGGACGACTCCCAGCAGACCGCCAACGCCTCCGACAAGTCCGTTGCTGTTCAATAGACCGCCCAGGAGCCCGCCCAGAAGTCCGCCAGTTGGGCTCTTAGAGGTGCTCGTATTTCCGCCCAAAATCGAACCGAGCAGGTTGCCTAGATTGGTCAGAACGAGGCCGTTGAGGGTGGAGAGCAGGCCGTTGCCAGTGGTGCCGTTGCTGAAGCTATTCAGTACAGCCACCAGACCCTCGACGATGATCTGGGCCTTCACCAAGGTGAAAACATGGTTGTTGTTACCCTCGATGACCACATCAGAGTCCTCTGCAAAAATACAAAAAATAATAATTAATACAAAAATATTATAAGAAAAAGAAACCACTCACTCTTTATGATATTCTGCACTGGAACTCCTAGAACCTCGCTGATCACGAGCAGGAAGAGCTGGACTGGCACATCGGCGGCAATAACGCGCTCCACGGTATTATTGTTTCCCTTAACAATGGCGGTGGGTCCCTCTGTCAAAGCAAACAGGATATGACTGTTAGATTATGACTGTATTATAAGGAAGTATTATACACTTACGGGTTAGAGTATTGCCAGCAGCAGTTCCTGGAAGAACTTGGCTAAGAAGTGGAAGGTTGAGACCAGCAGGAATGGCCAATGGTATCAGATCATTGATTTTATTGCCAGTGCCTTCGTTGATTACATTGCCAGCTAGAAAATTAAATTAAATAAGTTAATATCATTTAATTTAAGACTAGATTTTGTTCTTTTACCATTTTGTACAGTAGTTATTGAAGAACTGGGTGTTCCGGAAGAGCTAGAGGAGCTTGAAGTGCCTGTGGATCCCGTAGAAGAGCTGGGCGTTCCCGAAGAGCTAGAACTAGAGCCAGAAGAGCCCGAAGAACTCGTAGAGCTAGAGGGTGAGCTAGCTTTTCCATCAGCCGTAGATGCCACAACAGCCTGAACAGCCGCCGCAACTTGTCCATTCACCAGAGAATTCCTCACATTGTCGTTGCCAACTATAACAGTGCCTCTGCCCACTAAAGAAACATACATCAAGAATATATATAGTTATTGTAAACTATAGAAATTAAAGTCCTCTAGAACTCACTGTTGACAGTATTGCCCTCAAACTGGCCAGGAATCTGGCTCAAGGCAATCGCGTTCACTGCAGGAATCACTCTCAGATCAGCCACATCATTCTGTTGGTTGGCTGTACCCTTGAGTATAGTACCGTCGGCCGCTGTTTAAATTGGAATAAGTTAAGAATAGAGTTTACTTTAATAATAAAAACTATACGAACCATTTATGACATTGCCAGACTTGGCAGCATTGTTGGCCACTTGGGCTAGGACTGCGGCGGGAAGGTCCACGCCTGCCAAGAAGTTATCCTGATTTCCAACACCATTCAGCAAGTTCTGAGTGCCAGCTGAAGGAGTAATATGATTAATGGATATACAGCAATCAAGAAATATTAATAATCTTACAATCAATGGTGTTTCCAGAACGGCTGGGACGCTTGGCAGCCGTGAAGGTCTTCGGGTTTATCAAGGAATTGGAGGCAGTAATGTCGGCACTGTTGAGGGCGGCGGCATTGGCGATCTGGTCCATGGTGTTGGGGGCGGTAATGGTGCGATCCAGGGCGGTCATCAGACCCAGAAGCACTGACTTGGCTACGCCCATGGAGAGCAGGCGAACGATCCAGCTGTCGGTGGTGGCGGCACACAGTCCACTGGGCTTGCCCTCGGCGATTGTGGTCAGGCTGTCCAGGAGGGAGACGGACAGCAAGCTGAAGGCATTGACCTGGACCAGGCTGAGACTGTCGGGACTCACTGGAAATTTTCAGATAAATTATTATTAACATTTTTCATTTCACATAAGAACGAGTCCTCGTTACTAGCTTTTTTAAAAGTTACATCTTTACTCGCTACTCTTGTTACATCATTACTCGGTACTTACTTTCCCTCAGATTCCTGATGATTTTATGAGATTCTCCGCCGGAAGCTCCACACACCTGCAGCAGGGTATTCAGAATGGCACTATGTTCAGCCAAGTTGCGTTCCCGAAGGAAGCTGAGCACCGATTCGCGGTCATCCTTGACGGAGCCCACGCGGCGGGCAGTTCTGATGCCGGATCCCTCGGCCTGCTCCTCCATAGCCTTGGCCTGCTGGCGCTGGCGGGTCTGACTGCCCTTGATCACCTGGACGACCTCATCGGCGGAGCATTCGATGCCATTAAACGAGCACAGGGCCAGGAAGGACCTCAGGGTAAGGGTCAGACTGTTTCTGTCTTGCGACTTTTCGATATCCCGGATAACGCGACCACAAGTGACCTCCTGGCGAGCTCCAATCAGAATTTCAATGATCACATCCATGCCCAGATTGAGGAGCACAGCGTTGGCCTTCGAGTCCTTGGCGTCGGGAGTGCGCAGGGTCTTCATGGTGGCCTCTTGGAAGGGTGTCAGCTTGGTGCCTCGAGCCTGCATGCTGGCCAGGAGCAAGTCAGCCAGATCCTTGGCCGCCAGACGTCCAATATTCGTCACCCTTTGTGTCCTCGGCGCCGTCTCTGTTGTGGTTGAGAAGAGTGCGGTCGTCGTAGCAGCAGTCGAGGAGCTGGCTTCCATTGTACTGGAGGCCATCACATCCATTATCAGGGTGGTCAGTGACGAGGGCGTTGAGGAGGCAAATGGTGATCCCTGGTCCAGGATGGTGGAACGCTTCGTGGGCTTGGCATCGTGTGGTATGTAGAAGCAAGTGCTGACCACTAGGAACAAGTGCAGGCGCCACATCTCGGTCTCGATCTCAGAATCCCAAAAAGCAATCAAAATGTGGGTGCTGGTTGCCACCGAACTCGATGAATACTCGAATACTCGATGATTGATGTATCTCCGGCCAGCCCACACGGCTTATATACGATTCCCCCAGCTTATCGCCATGTAAGATAAAAACACTGGAACGCTGTAAACGTGCCCCATCGCCAGCCGCATCGAGATGATGATGCATTCTTTTTGCATGTTCGCTGGCGGCGATGAGATAGCATCGATGGCTTCATGAATTGGGGGCGCATCTCGATCGCAGATTAGCTTCAGTATCAAAATCGGTCTAAACCAGTGCGTTACCTATAGATTAAAATCGGTGGTGTATTCATAGGGCTTTTAAATGACAGGAAGTTTCTAGTTTCTTAAGTAATTCAAACTGTTGAATTACAATTAAAACTTAAAATGAATTCATTATTCATAATTGTTAAAGTTTTATCTTAAATAAGATATCAATCTTTATAAAATCTTTATAATAATTGTCTATATATTGGTTATTGGTTAAGAAATGGTTATTGTTTTTTTCTTCTACCTATAAATGTGTAAATATTTGTCAATTAATAATTTTTTAAAACAATTTGTAAATACTTCGATTTTAAGTAAATATTTTGATCAGTAATTGGTTTAAAATTTAAATATTATTGTCAAGTTTTCGTTAAAATGTAATAATAGTTGAGTATGTATTTATATTCTATAATATAAAGTTTTCTTGAATAATAAAAGTTATTTTAAAGACAGAAATATTAATTCCAGGACTCCTAATAGAATATCCTAATAGGATATTATTTTATCCATGGCATTTGCAAGACATTCCATTGAACGTATTGAACGTATATTTGATTAATAAATCCTAGATATCTTAAAATATAGAATACCATGTAGAATACCATGCGACATGTATATTGTATTATAACTATATACAGTAAAATATTTATACCCCTAGAACAATTTATTTAAAAGTATAAATCATTATAAAAACATCTTAATTGTTAAACACCAAAAATGATGATAAGTTCATAAGTCAAGTTTAAACAAAACCGATGGTATATAATTTATATCTCTTCAAAAATAAAAAGAACTAGCTAAATAACATTTATATTCCTAAAATCATTTATTTTATTATATGAGGCAGCAGAAAAACATCTTAATTGTTAAACACCAAAAATAGAAATAAGTTCATGGGTCAATTTTAAACAAATTCCAGTAACCCCAAATCTTAGACTAAAGCTCTTTTTGTTTTCTTTAAATAAAATGTAGTTAACAGCTGAGAAAATAGATTAATAAATATAATATATAAGCCCCCATAACTCAAAGCCCAAAGCTAGATATATGACTTTTTTTGGGCTCAGCACGTGACCGCAGCTTCTGTAAAGTTTTGGGTCAAGATATTTCCGCATAGAGATACCCAATAATAGACTTTGTATAAATGCACAAAAGCTGCCTACAGTTGTAACAGTTTTCGCCAATAAACCGAACCAAAATGGATCATCAACGATTTGCCCTCATTTTGATTGTTTCCCTAGTTGGTGCTAGCTTTGGGGCCCAGATCTTCACCACCGAGGATCGAGATTCTATACTAAAATTTATGAATGTGTTTATGAACTTTTTGGATATGGAAACGGATAATAGTACACTTACCAGCACCACATTGTCTCCCAACGGAACCACCTTGTCGACCAATGGCACTTCTTTGGAGACTACTACTCTACCATCTGGAAATAGTACAGGTGTAACAACGGAATCTTCAGTGACTACTAGTAACTCTACTGAGACGACTAGTAATTCCACTGCCAGTGCTGATCCAAGTTCCAGCACTACAGTTTCGGGAAATAGCACCACCACCATAACCACTGAGGCCACCACAACCACAGTGAGGCGTAGAATTTGCTTCAAAAGATACTGCTATAAGTTTAGTAATGACAAAGGATATATTGTTTAGAGTCTGAAGCTTGTAGTAAATAAAATAAAATACAATTTAATTTATTAAATTTTTTATTATTCGAGAGATTCAAAAAACAAAAATGTTATAATGTATGGATGATAAAATATGATACGAAAAATATTTAAAATATTACTTCAATATGTGTTCTAAAGGTCTTTAAGAACCACAAGTTCGTAGATCCTTTATTCTTTATTTTTATGGATGAGCATATGAATTAAATAAAAAAAAAACAAAAAAACCTATTCGCCAAAATATAATTCAATGTTTTTTTGGGAATAGTTTAAAGATTAAATTAATGGAATGTGTAAATTGTACAGAATATTTAAATCTGCCAATATTAATGAGTGCAAAGTGTTGTTAGCTTATTTTAATAATTATTCCTGAGCCTGATGACGGCCCCTGTTGTGCTCAGCCAGATAGAGAGTATCGGCCAGGAACTGCTCAGTGACCAGCTCGTCCACGCGCTCGTGCATGGACCGGGCATTATGCTGGCTGAGTATCTCCGGATACTGGAAAGTTGGCCCAAAGTTGACGCTAACCGTGCTGTTCTTATAGACGGAGATGGTCGGGTAGTAGCTGCCAGCGTAAATTTTCTCAAAAGCCACTCCTTGTGACAAGCCATTCTTGAAGAACTCGATGCGGCTGCCCTCCAGTTCGTACAGTTGCTCCCGTTTCTCGTCACTTTTATCGTCCTCCTCGAAGTACAGATGCGACTTGGACTTGATTAGTCGACATTCCTTGTAGGTTTTCGGCCTATAATTCAGTTGAGATTCAAATGGAAGGTTTATGAGGAAGCCCAAGGTGTCGCCCTCGCCATAGGCATCGGTGTAGTGTTTTCCGCGGCTCTCCGTGAACTTGGTTCCTTTGCGGGAGCGCCAGGAGTACCCAAACTTGTCGCATCCTAGTGGGGTCTGCAGATTGGCGTGGCGGCGGCCCCATCCCAAACGAGTGGAAGAGTTTCCTGGCATCTCGATGATGGTAACCTCAAAATACCAACAGCCACATGATACCGAGTGAGTGGCTCGAACCGTGCCGTAGCCACGATCACCAGTGACAGCAAGGCGGTCTTCGGTGATACTTAGATGTTCAGCGCAATCATGCAGCGACAGGAGCAAGGTGGGCGATAACTTAACGCGATACATCCAGCCCGGAATGGGTATGCGTTTCGAGGAGGAGCTAGCCTCGGCTTCCGACTCCTCCGGCATTTTAGCATGTGGATCAGGCTCCGCCAAGATGTACGCCATGCCGTTCTTGTTGTAGGGATACTCGCGAGGAAAGCCATGCGGCATAAAATCCATTTTACTGGCGCATGGGCGCGCCTTCTGGCCTCTGGGCTTAGCCGGCTTAACCCTACAGTAGGAGTGGGTTAGTCTCATGCCCTCGTACCTCGGCTGAATAAGTGTAAGGTCTTGGATCGACAGTCCGTATGATGGTCCCAGCACAGGATTGTCTTCGTAAATAAATTGTTTTGACAGATTCTCGTCCAGACTTTGTATAACCTTCGATTGCCAGGACGTAGTCTGTAGACGAGGCAAAGTCGTCAAGGCCTGCCAGTTCCTTTCGATATATGGAATGATATCGTTATGCACGCTGAACACTATCTGTGGCGCGCCGATCATGGCAGCCGAGTGCTGCATATTGGCGATGGCACAATGTGCCATCTGCGTTAGTGAGGCCTGGTGACGATCGTAGCTCTCCACGCCCTCCAACGTGCAGTTTTTGCATACAAAAATATAGTTGGTCGTAAACCAGTGGATCTTCTTTCGCACCAGTGTGTAGGTCACACACTTCTCGTGGATCCAACACGAACAATTGAAGCAAAGAAACTCTGCCTGGCTGAGGTTCCTTTCATTGCCGCAATAGCACTTATTTTGTGACCCATATTTTTGGATGCGATTATATTTCGGTTTCTCTGGGACTGCAGCCGCATCCGGAGCCAGTTTCGTAGCCTTAGATGGAGCCGGATCCTGGGCGATCTCTGATTCAATCTCCATAAGTTCTGGGGACTCACCCACGTGTTTTTTAGGTTCCGCGTTCATGAAAAATCAGTCTTTTCGGATCTTCTCGTTGGTAAAGAAAGAAAAATGGCTTTCGAGTGTGACCATTCCAGTCTTAAATTCGATAGCTTTAGGGGGAAAAAGCAAAGGCTTTAGGACGATTAGAAGCTTCTGGAGACTTCTACTAAAATCCTCCTGGACATGGTTTCTCGTTTAATTTTTGCGGGTAATGTGGAGGAACTGTGTTGTGGAGAACCTTACCGTTAAAAAAAAGCACAACAATTTTTAGTTTTTGAAAATTAAATTATATATTTTTTTTTAATTAAAAAATTACTGCTGCTATAAAGGTTTTTGGAGCATAAAAATAAAATATAATACAATCTAATTTGTTGTAGAAGTAAGATTTGATAACAAGTTTATTGATTACAAATTTTTTGTTTCGATATTTTTTAATTGATTTTTAATTCGTTTATTTTAGGCCTACAAGTACTCTATTGTTCGTTTCCGATAAAATAAGGCCTAATATCGATCAATTAGTGATTAAATTAGCTAAAAACATGGCATGTTTTAAGTTTAAACTCTAATATCTTCAAGCCCCTTTCCAGCACTGTTTACTCGTTACTTTTCGGCGATTAAAAGTTAACGTGTGCCAGTGTCCTTTTGGCCGTTGGGCGCGGAAAACAAAAATTAGTAAAAGAAAATGTTAAATTTATTCCATTTTATGAATTAAACGGAAGGCAATACTGTGAGAATCAATCACTAAAAATGTTTATTCATGATTGCCTTGGGCTTTGTTCACCTTTGCCATTTGGCACACCCAACTGGAAAATATGTAATTGAATTCATTTTCTAAGCCGCAAAACCATAATTGTTTTTGCTAAATGTCAACCATTGGTATAAAAAAATACATATATGTTGAGAAAATATTTGAGATTTCTGTGAAGTTCTGTCTGTCTGTGTGTCTGTCTGATCCAACCCCCCAAAGGCCTTAACAAATTATTTCAATTAAAAGTTTTCGAGCAAAGCACTTAATGCCAACACAAGTTGAGCGTTTATGTGCGCAAATCTTAATTGTGGCAAAAATACGAGTACAAGGCTATAAATATACATATATTGTACATATCCCAGTGATGGCAGAGCACAGGAGCAGAAAAGGCCAACTCTAACTGACGGGAAAAGCCTATTGGCAAAAGCTTTGTGGCTTTTCATTGAGTCGTAAACAAATGAAATTTAATTCGTGCAAAGATTTACTCGAATTTATTGTGCAAATAGTTGAATGTCAATGTTGCCGCAGAATCAACTGGGGATTTCCCACCACACCTCCGCTACACACTAGCCCATTCGCTGTGATTCATTTTTGTATCTGTATCTAGAATCTGATATTTGTATCTGCATTTGTATCTGACTCTCCACATGTGTCCGTATCTGTATCTGCAGTGCACACATAATTGCCAAATGAAACGAAGCCACAAATATGCATGACAGTTGCGCTTGGAACGTGCTCAATTTTCTAATCAACAAACCAAAATAAACTCCATTCATTGTTTAAAGCAACTAAAAACCAACTGAACAACGCACTAAGCTTGCGAAAAATCTTTCAATTTGTTTTATAAATAAAGTCTACGTGGTAGGTCGGTAAGGTCTTAAAGAAATGTATTTTGCTTCTAGGGGACTCTCAAAAAAATGTTGCACAAAAATCTAAAAAAAATTTTGTGTTCGGATTTTGCAACAGATTGACGGAAAACCGATCTGCAAGTCCTTCCTCATGGGAATCGGATACGAACGAGCAAGACACAGACATAAAGATATGTATTTTTTTAGGCCAGAAATTAAAGTCCAAGATTCCACAAGGGTCTTTCCAGAATAAAATGGAAAAAACTTTAAAAAATATGTTGTGCTCAGATTATGATTAAGATTGGCGGACAATCGATCCACAAATCGTTTAAGGTACTCCGCTTGAGAATCGGATGAGAATTGGGGAAGATATAGCCATCGCAGTGGGCCCTATGGGGGACAACCTCATTTTCAAGCCATCACGAAAAATGGACAAAAAATCTGAAAAATATTTTGTCTCAGGATTTTGATGCAGAATGGTGGGAAATCGATCCACAAATCGTTTAAGGTACTCCGCTTGAGAATCGGATGAGAATTGGGGAAGATATAGCCATCCCTGTGGACCCTATAGGAGAAAACCCCATTTTCAAGGGATCCCATCACGAAAAATGGACAAAAAATCTGAAAAATATTTTGTCTCAGGATTTTGATGCAGAATGGTGGAAACTCAATCCACAAACCGTTTAAGGTACTCCGCTTGAGAATCGGATAAGAATTGGGGAAGATATAGCCATCGCAGTGGGCCCTATGGGGGACAACCTCATTTTCAAGGGATCCCATCACGAAAAATGGACAAAAAATCTGAAAAATATTTTGTCGCAGGATTTTGATGCAGAATGGTGGGAAATCGATCCACAAATCATTTAAGGTACTCCGCTTGAGAAACGGATGAGAATTGGGGAAGATATAGCCATCACCGTGGACCCTATAGGAGAAAACCCCATTTTCAAGGGATCCCATCACGAAAAATGGACAAAAAATCTGAAAAATATTTTGTCTCAGGATTTTGATGCAGAATGGTGGGAAATCGATCCACAAATCGTTTAAGGTACTCCGCTTGAGAATCGGATGAGAATTGGGGAAGATATAGCCATCGCAGTGGGCCCTATGGGGGACAACCTCATTTTCAAGGGATCCCATCACGAAAAATGGACAAAAAATCTGAAAAATATTTTGTCTCAGGATTTTGATGCAGAATGGTGGGAAATCGATCCACAAATCGTTTAAGGTACTCCGCTTGAGAATCGGATGAGAATTGGGGAAGATATAGCCATCCCTGTGGACCCTATAGGAGAAAACCCCATTTTCAAGGGATCCCATCACGAAAAATGGACAAAAAATCTGAAAAATATTTTGTCTCAGGATTTTGATGCAGAATGGTGGAAAATCGATCCACAAATCGTTTAAGGTACTCCGCTTGAGAATCGGATGAGAATTGGGGAAGATATAGCCATCCCTGTGGTCCCTATAGGAGAAAACCCCATTTTCAAGGGATCCCATAACGAAAAATGGACAAAAAATCTGAAAAATATTTTGTCTCAGGATTTTGATGCAGAATGGTGGAAACTCAATCCACAAACCGTATAAGGTACTCCGCTTGAGAATCGGATAAGAATTGGGGAAGATATAGCCATCCCTGTGGTCCCTATAGGAGAAAACCCCATTTTCAAGGGATCCCATAACGAAAAATGGACAAAAAATCTAAAAAATATTTTGTCTCAGGATTTTGATGCAGAATTGATGCAGGTGTTCCTCTTAGTAATCGGATAAAAATTGCCAAAGATATAGACATCGTAAAAGACCAGATATGTAAATCCATGATTTTGCAAGGGGTCTCACCACAAAATATTGGAAAAATTCCGAAAAATATTTTGTGTCCAGAATGTAATGCAGAATGGCGTAGAATCGATCTAAAAATTGTTTAAAGTGCTAATCTTGGGAATCGGACAAGAATCGCCAAAGATATTGGAAAAATATGTTGTTTATATTTTGATTCGGATATTCGAGGTATGATGTGAGGTATTCTCCTTGGAAATCGGATGAAAATTGGTAAATATATAGACATAGCGAATGGCTATGAAAATCAGATATGAAAATGTAGAGCTTTTCAGTCCCATTGGGATTGCTAAAGATAAAGACATTGGTGGGGGTGACACCCATTATTATCCTGCCTTTTATACAATTTAATAAAGTTTTGTTGCCACAATAATTTCAGTAATAACTTGACACAATATGTAGTTGTCTTAATAACCCTTTTGAAACTTTCCACCCCAAAACCCCTGCGAAAAGCCTGTGGATAGTTTATTGAAAAAGATCTAGAACTTGTACGGCTTCCGCCTTCCGGGGTCTGTCAATAAGTTATATAACTTTTGCGGCCTGAAAAGCATCCTGACAAATTAATTGATTTGTCCTTTTGCTTTTGGCCATCCCTGTGAACTTCCTTAGGCTTCGGGTGGCACGTGGCAGTGTCATTTAATTACTGACTATATTGTTATTATTATTTACCCCCACCCTCCGTATATACATACGTATGCGTGTCAACAACTTAACAAAGTTGCCACACAATGCTGTGGCTAAAAGGGGTGGTGGGTTGCCCAGAGGGCGTAAGGAGGCACACACGCCCAACCAAAGCAGCGGATTAAGCAACCGCCGCTGTTGCTGCCGCGTGAAGCACTTTGAATTTGTTTTGTTGCATTAACAAGACATCATCCAACAGTCTGTCGCAAAGGGATGTTTATTTGGCTATTTTTTAAGGGATTTTAAATTTTAAAAATAATTAAAAATTGTTTTAAAATGTGTAATTAATAAAAAAAATTCATTTGAAAGTCAAATATCTCTGAGAATACATCCGAAAAATACATATCTTAATGTCTTAAAATAAATGTAATTATTTTATAGTTGGGAGACCTTTAGTTGGTTTTTTTTTAATATTTCTGTTTATAATCAAAAGTGTAAACTATCTCCTTATAATTTTTGTACTTTCCATAAAACTATTATTGATCTTACTAATTAAATAAAATTTTTAACAATTAAGATCTAAGAATCCTAAGCAATTTAAGATTTAAGAGACTTTAAACGGGATTATTTAATGATTTCTGTGTATAATTAGTAAGGGAAAGTATCTCCCTTAATTTTTTATATTTTTCCAGATACTTTTAGGGTAAAACTTTATTAATTTTGTCTGAAATTTAATTGCCAACACTGTCTCTGGAATGGGGGAAGTTGGATATATTTTCGGGTGAATGAGTAGAGACGTATGTCCGCAGCTTTAAAGACAAATCCCCCCTATGAGCTTATCAACCGTCAGCCGCCGCACATCAGATCAACCGCTGAACCACCCACCGCGCACCCACTGACACCACCACGTTGTTTGTTTCAGTTAGTTTCTAGGCGAAACAAAACAAAAAAAAAACATATCCAATTACAATTTAATTAAGCTGATTTGAATGCGGCGGCGGCTGTTGCACGTTAGTTAAAAACAAACACAGACAGAGGCGGAGAGGCACAGACCAGGAAACAGATGGAATGCTACAAACTACAAAACTATAAATGGAAAACAAACGATGTGTGTATATTTTCAGTGTTTTTGTGCGTTTCAAATAATTTATAGCATACGTGCAGGCGAGGCTGCTAAATTATTGGAAAAACTGTTCTCAGTTTTGGGTGAGTGACAGCGGTAAGGTGGGTATAGTTTCCACCTTAATTTATAAAATTAAATCTTTCTTTTTTTTATTTTCCCATCACATTGCACCATTTAGTGTCGCAAATTTGTAAATCTGCCCCATGTGGCAACTGTCACTTCCTCGCTCGTTCACATTGTATTTAAAGGCTGCCACGTGCTCTGTCGACACTTGACCCACCAAATGACCCTCGTGATTATCGATGAAAGTGTTGTTCTGGTTTGCAATTTCACAGGCCAAGCACGCTCCACTTTCACTCACTCCCCTTTATTCCTGTTTTTTTTTTCTTTCTCAACCCCTTTTTGCATTGTCATTGTCATCACCCAACCCCTACGGTTTTTTTTCCAGTGTGTCCAACCCCTGGATGGTCCAGTGGGGGCTGTACTTTTTCGGAACTCTGTCAGTTTCAAGTCGCTCTCGAGACGGTTTGCTTTTCTGGTCTACGACACTGACAATGGGCCACTTCACAAGCGTCCTGCCTCCCACAAAAAAAATGCACAAATATATATTACGTAATGAGCAATCAAGACTAAATTAATTCAAGGAAGTGGAGTATATATAGTGTATACATATGTACACTATATACACTGCAATTTTTTGATGTATACATATGTATACATTCATATTTTGTATGATAGTTCACCAAAAAAAACTTAAAAATACCATACCTAACTGGGTGACAAAATAAAAGGTATAGAGCTTATTAGATATGTACATCATATTTTATATTATTAAATAAAATAAAATACACATGTAAATTAATATTAAAATAGTTTGGAATAAATAAAATCTATGTAGATATTCTATTGTCATCAATCACTTAATATTTTTATAGATTCATATATTTTGCTATTATAATATTAAATTTATTATAATATTTTATGTATTCCATGTCATACAAGGTGACATCAGTATAGACAATATCTTTAGAAGTATCGAGCTTAAAAAAATTTATAGGACTAGCTGGATATTTTATTTAAAATATATTCCAATATTGATAAAGCCTTAAACATATGTTTTCTAATTTAATCTCTCTATTTAATTCCTAATAATGTATCTGAAGTTATTACATCGAAAAGGTATGGTATGCGTATACAAACCATCGGCTATTACTATTAATCTATTTAAACTAATAGCAAAAATAATTATTAAAAAGAATAGGCTTCCAAGAATCTGTCAACAATGACAACTCCCACCACAAATAAATGCAAAAAAAACACTTAAAAGTGCAATATTTTGCCTGTCAATGCCCTTTCGTTGAAAAAGACTTGGCAGTGCCAATGAGGCGCGATTAAAAATGAATGTTAATCGCATTAGGACAATAAGAACATTTAGGACAATAAGGCGATGATGCAATAACCGTGTAGCAAGTGCACTTCCCGAGCCTGGGAGTTGGGGGTTGGAGTGGATTACAAGCTGACAATCCACTTGCCACATGACGCACATACCCTGGCCGAGGGTTGAGGTTGATGTACCTCCCTTGGTGCCTTTTTTTTTTTGTTTTTGTCCGTGTGTTCCCTGGAGTCCTTTTGTTTTGGACACGTTTTGCCCACGAAACCTAATCCGCTTAAGAGAGCGGCACAATGAATGTTACTCGATACTAGGACGCGTGATGGATTATACTTTCCGATACATTTTATTGAAAGAGAGATCTATTTAGTTCAGAAAGCTATAGAAAGCTAGTTCAGACGGTACATATATTCGAGGATGTCTTCGAGGGCGCGAACCATATCGCCCATATCATCGACTACGATTACGTTGGTACCGCCATTTAGTTCATTTGGCTCGCCGTCAGCATTAGTTGAAGCCTCCTGTCCAAGCGCCTCCATTGGTTCAGTCCCTGGTTCTGCTATCGGAGTGGCCTTCGGAGTATCACCGGTTACCTTTGACTCTGCATCTAGATCTGCAAGTGGAGCTGTCGGCGGAGTGCCCATCGGAGTAGCTGGCTCTGCCACTGCCCCGGCTTCCTTCTGCTTCGGAGCTACTGCTACTACTGGCTCGGCCACTGTCTCGGCTTCCTCCGGCTTCAGACCTGCTACCACTGGCTCTGCCACTTCTCCAGCTTCCTCCGGCATCGGACCTGCTACCACTGGCTCTGCCACTTCCCCGGCTTCCTCCTGCTGCGGATCAAATTCTACTAATAGAGCGGCCACTGCCTCGGCCATCGGCTCTAGCATAAGACCGGTTGTCGGATCGATCATAAAATGGGACATTGTTACCGGGATCCGTCTGGTTACGTTTGTCGATGGATCCTCAACCTCGAGAACCAATACAGGTCCATAAAAGTCAGGCACCTCCACCTCTCCACCTTCGACCTCAGCTGTTGCTATTGCTTCCAGTACTGATACTGAAAATGGAATTATCGGAATGTTCAGGGGAAAAGTCATATGTAGCTATTGCAATCTTACCGGGTACCCCGGGCTGTGGCTGAGAAGCGGGCTGCGGCTGAGGAGCGGGCAGCGCCATTCCGATCTCTCCCTCTGCGGCAATTGGTTCCTCCACATCGTTGGACAGTGGCTCTGCCTCCAGCCTTACGTCCTCTCCAACACGCAAATCGATGAAAACTCCCTCGCCATTATCCTCACTTTCCGAATCGGTATATTCAGTGTCTTCATAGTCCAACTCCTCAATGTTCAAGTTGTTCGCTTCGAAGGCCTCAAAGGCTTCTGCGACCAGGTCAAAGTCATCAGGCTGCACGTCCTCCGCAGCCTTGTGCATTATCAATGCAGTCTTTAGTAGTAAGAAAAGAATCTAGTTAATAATTTGGAAATACAATTTTTGCGAGTTTTTAGAAGCACGTACGCGTGTTTTTGTCCGATCGTTAAAAAGTTTATCTTACAAATTTAGACGAATTTTTTGTACGAGTGCCTTGTTACAACGAAAACTTAAACTGACGATTCTACGATGTGTGATCCAAACACCTATTTGACAATCTACAAATTTTTATTTCACAGACTACTGATTTTACTTGTTCAACTTACCAATTTTTTCGCACAACGAAGTCTATGAAAAACGTGCTTCTGTATATCGAAATCGGAATCTGGAAATGGGCCACTTTTTAATCGAAAGCTACATAATTGGTGCTAATCCTAAATGCATCTGCAATAGTGCTGCCCATTGTTTCTTTTAATGGACCCATGCTCGTACGTATCGGTAAAGCGATATACCGATAACTGAAAGATTATAAAGGATGATAATTAAATACAATAAGTTTAAAATAGGTGTTATGATAGAAATCTTTATAATAATATTAATAAACCTTGATCTTAGCATTTTTGTTTATTTTCGATATGTTTATTTTTATTTTATTTATTTATGAAAAACTACAGCTGTTCGAAGATGCAGAACATTTTAATTAGAAGTGTAAAATTGGTATTATATCTTTATTATATTATTATATAATCTTTATTGAATAAAATACATGACTTTTATATTGGAATTATATTAATAATATATTGATTGAATAATAATAATACTAAAACGCATTGAAACCTTAAAATGCCTTGACCTTTATCTATTATCATAAATGTAATCTTAAAAAAAGTACAGCTTGGTAGAAAGTCAAAACTCTTATCTGGAAAACTTTTGGAGTGCCGATCATTTCACGGGTTTCTTGAGGGAATATCCGATTGTCGGAAACGGAAGAGGCCAGAACAAACAAAGCCTGGTTTTTTTTTTTGTCCGGACTCGGGCTGGGCTCTGCATTTCCTCCTGCAATGTGTGACGTTGGCAAATATGTACCGGCATACCGGCTCGATTCCTATTTCCAGAACCCCGTGCATACCCCGCATACCATATAGTACAACCATAGTACCCATTCCAATATCAATTCCTGGTGTGCAACTGCGTCTTATATAATCACACGGCGCATGTCGGCCTTTGTTTCGCCTTTGTTGGTTTTTTGTTTTACGGCCCCATGGACACAAAAGGAAAAGCCGAAAGAAACCGAACCCACTAACCACCAAAAACCGAAAACCTAAAACCTAAAACCTTAAACCAAAAACTGAATATCCCAAGACCCCGCAGACAAAGCGACGATGGTGGAAGAAATTCGCTAGAAAATGCCACGCGGTAATGACAAATATTGACATTTCCTTCTTTTGGGGTCGGGGTGGAGAGAGCGGAATTGGTTCGTTTCCATTCCCTATATAGAATATACCATACATATGCCCGGTGTGTAATATTAAACCAAAAGCCGCCACAAAGAGACCACAATAGACACGCTTTCATCAATAAATAAGGCACTGTACTCCCCTCGGCAATAGATTAGCGAACAGCGAACAGCAGGTTCCAATAGGCCCCGAAAGTAATGCAATATCGGGTTACATTCACACGGTTCTTGTTTCCCCAAAATCCCAAGAACAAAACAATGGGGAAACTTTACTATTTGGGCTTAGTAATTGGTTTTAATAGTTTCTGGACAGTTTGGTCAGATAGTATGTTAGATAGATAGTTAATACGTTATGCTGGTCAAGCAATTAGCCTTCAATTTCCCGGGAGTTGTCCAATAAAAAGTCTATAAAATGGAAACTATGGGAAAAAAGTTGAATTGAGTATTGAGTTTCTAACAATTAGATAATTTGGTAGAGCTAGTATGAGTAAGTTTATAGAAAAAATCTCTTATATTTTACAAGGAATTACCTTTCATAAACTATAACTTTAAAACCATCTCAGGCCATGAAAACCTTAGCACACTTTGGCAACAATGGTTGCCTTCATCTGAAAATGTGGCCATTGTCCTGCCACTCAAGGAGTAAAAAAAAAAAAAAGCATGAAAGGAGAAAGCTGGCGGGGATTGGATGAAAATAAAACCCCAACCCATTGACCACAACAAAGAGTGTCTATCCAGACGAGGCGACGCCTTATCTAACCAAAAGCTAATAATTATGGCACGGAAAAAAATTCCAAGCCGCAGACTCTGTTTTTGTACCCTGGAATTTGTTGGATTATAAAAATTAGGGTATTATAGAATTTGTTGCAAGAAAGGTACTATTACTACTGGTAAGAAGTTCTATTCAAAATAAATATAACCCTATTCTGTAGCTCTTATTTATACACAGAGGTCCAAATTATGCTATTAGTGGAAATAGTGGACTTACAATAAAAAACTGCTCCTGGAAACTGGAGAAACTGGAGCCTATAATATTTTCCAAGTACTCATATTTGGCTTACAGGATATTCTACAGTCGAAATTCTCTTATTTGATAGTCCTTTCAGGAGCAGGACTCAGTAATGCGTTAAATGGCAACGCATTATCCACACATTCTTCGGCTGGCACGGGCGAGAAGCCTTAAAATTTGCACAGAACCCGGAAATGTTGGGCATGGGAATTATTTTGTTACAACCTTCATTTTTTCACCTCTCTCCTGGAAGGGCCTATAGCCACATGCAGGTAATATGTATATATATATACCCACCTATATATAGCTTCAAAGTAACATTGTCGGATCACCGCACCACATTCAGACCAAAGACCACATGGCATAATGAGCGCTTGGCGAAAGGACAAAGGAATCCAAGGACTCGGTCAGGTGAGTCCTTACACACACTCCACCCACACACAAACACAAGCCCATATGGAGAACCAGGATGTCTGTGGTCAATACGCTCGAATGGGTGTAAAATTCGAATGTTATTCATGACTTTCCCCCAGCCCTGTATTTTTTTTTTGGTTCTGTGTACTGAGAGAAATAATCGTGCAATTGGGAATAACCACAAGCTGGTAATTGCCAGGCAGGCCGCTGTTTGATTGATGACCTTTCACCAAACAGCCGAAGGAGAGCAGTTTTCATACAAAAGGGTCTGGGTCTATCGTATAAGAGCCTCAAGGTGCCTGTGGAAGATAAATGTTTTTGGGGGGAACGCAAAAATCTTGTATAATCTTATAACTTAATTAGGCCATAACCTTATCTAAGATGTAACCTTAAGGGCTAAGTGGTTGGTTTATTAAGGTTTTAGGTCCAGACTATCTTTAGTTAATATCTTTGTTTGGTTAATTTAAGTTCAAGAGTGTGAGGCCATAAAAATAGTTATCTTTAAAAAGAAGGTTTTTTAGAAAATGTATACAAGTTTTAAATAAAAGTTTCAAATAAAATTATACATTTTCTTAACTGTTTTTAAGATTAACACTATAATACTATTTTTAAAGAAAGAAAATGCTTTAAGTTCTCTGTGCATTGTAGATTTTAAAACTTTGGCATGTAAAGGGCTTTTGAAATATTCTAGAGAGTATAAAAACTAAAGAAGAATATTTGAAAAAATACTTAAGTTATTTCGGTTTAAAATTTAAATATTTTTTGTATATAAAAAATTGTTAGTCTAGAAATTTAAAAGCCCACAGCTTGTGGCAGATGAAAGGCACGCGACATGGCAACCAGGAAACACACATGAGAAAATTAAGAAGGGGCTGGCGGACTGGCGGGGCTGGGGTATTAGGGCGGGGGAGTCCTGGTTGGAGAGGGAGGTGTGGTCATTGTTCTGTTTGTTTTTGGTCCTTTGGCTGCGTCTCGGATGTCCTGCTCGCATTGCAGGGCCGGCCAGGCAAACAAAACAACGGAAAACAAAACAGCGAACCACTCGGTGTCCTGGATTAGTGGCCGTATCCTGGGTCCTGGGCCCTTGACGAGATGCCATATCATTTGGCCTCGAAAGTTAATTAAGGGTTTCACAGTCCTCTCTCGCTCTGTCTCTTGTGGAAAATGTCAACCGAAAAAAAAATCCAAACAAAACAAAAGAGGGCGGACAGTAAAAGTGAAATTGGGTGAGGCGGTTCCTCTGGTCGGTTTATACAACACGTCCATTGAACCGCAAATGAGCCAAAAATCCGTGGACCTGTGATATACGGGAAACTTGCACAATGCCGGGAATTCATGGCCACCACCCGCGGCGACAGGATCATAATTAGCTGCGGCCGAGGATAATTTTCATCCCACATTCCAAATGCCACGATTTTTCGGCCCAGATAGATCGACTGTCGCCAGGTGACTTTTCCATTTTCCCCCCTCAGCCATTTTCCTCGCTAATTGCCATCCGGAAAATCCGACAAAACTACTATCCCGGCTACTGTCGACCATTATCGGAGATTGTGAGTTTGCGGAAAATTTGTAAATAAAAAGGTTTTTGTTGGCAAACATGTGTAGGTGTTTTGGCTTTAAAACAATATATATTTTAACTAATAATATATTTGTCAAAACAAGAAACCAAAAATTGAAATAAATAAATGTTATTAATAGAAAATGGTTTCTAATAAAGTTTTAATTTTTTTTAAGTCATACCTTTAAAGTTCCAATCTAAATACTATCTATATTCAGTTCGTGGAATTTCCATAATAGAAATTTCCCTTGGAAAATCCATTTAATATTTCTTACCATTTTTATTAGCTGCTAAATGCAACGAAATGGCTTTCTTTGGTTTTATTGGACGTGTTGTTGTTTGGCTTTAACCCTCCACGCTGAGAGGGTGTGTCGTGGACATTTCTGCCACCCACTAAATGTCAAAGCAGACACTATTTTTGGATGCACCACCCCCACTGGGTTTTCCGCACTTTTCAATGGAAACTCAATTCAATTAAATCAAATAAAATGGTTGGAAACGCAACAGGAAGCGAAACTGGTCATAGAATGACCGTTACGAAATAGTAGTGACATTTAGTGCCAACCTTTGACCCTAAAATTGTCCACCCTCTATCTACATATATTTTTCGATAAATGTCCCAGCCGAAAAGCAATAATTTTCGTCAATTTAATTGATAGTTTGAAAATGGCAAAACTGACCAAATGGGGATGGACGGTTCTTAAAATAAAACGGGGGCTGAATTTTCCAAATTTAAGGAAAATCTAGGCACGCGTGCGCAACAAAGGAAAACAAATGGGCACAGTCACGCGCCAAGAGCTAAAAGGTCAACAAACAAATAAACAAAACTAAGGGGACAAATACTTTCCACATAAATATATGAGGGTACACGAAAATATTTCCATAGTTTTTGTCCACAAGTTTTGCGGTTTCCCACACACAAAACGGATGTGTCGAGGAAAAAGGGGTTTCATCCTCATTAAGGTTCAACTGTGAAAATACGAGTAACTCATGTCCACTTTCCTGGTCTTTCCTGGCAACTATTAATGAGACAATTTCCGAGCTGAAGGGTCTCATCAAAAAGGGGTTAGTCCTCAGGTCAAGGGTCAGCCAGGAAGAGAAGAGTATTTCAATGATGGATTAATAACAGAAGGGTTCCCCCAAAGGGGAGCCAAAAAGGGGGTCGACATGACATCCGGGGATTATCATTGACTGGGGTTATTTCAATTTTAAAACTACAGTTTTTAGGGCTTTAAATAAAGATTAAAAATTAGTTAAATGATTATATTAAAATTTAAAACCAAATAGTCCTTTATATTCATGAGTAAATATATGGCGATCTGGTACTTTCTACTTACTCTAACTCTTAAAACAGATCCTTGAAAACCGTATTTAATTAATTTAATACAAAGCTTTGTTAAAATGTCCATAATACTTGTTTTAAAATTAAAACAAAACTACCATTGTTTTGAAGTCATTCCATGCCACTTTCAAACATCATAACCCATACATTTTCTTTGTAATCATTGATTTCTGGCAAAATGAACTCATAAGGCTGCCATGCTTAAATATCAATCAATTATTCTACACCTTTCGGCTTTGTTCTATTTCCGAAAAGCAATGGACCATGGCTACCTACACATGTATCTGAAACTGCTTTGTATCTGTATCTGTACCTGTGTATCTGCATCGATGCATTGTGTTCGATTTGAAAACAATAATTCATCATTCTCACCCACCTGAATGGCCGTCGAGCCAGTGGGCATCATTAGTCTGCGTTGAAGTTTCTGGCCGGGATTGAGATTGAGACTCAAAGGCCTGATGGAGTGAGTCAGTCAGAAACCGAATACAGTAATGTGTGCCTAGAACCAGAGTCTACATAAGGGCCCTAATTACCTATAGAGTTATTAACCACGTTTTTTCTTGCCCCCTTTTAATGGTTTTTGGTCAGTAATTTGAGAACATCTTCTCTGTGTATGTACAGGTATATTTATATGCAGGTGTTCCCGCTGAATTCGAGAACAAAAATTAAACTCGATCCGGGCAACAAATTGGAACAGATTCGAGGACCACCCATCACAAAACTGAACGTCTTCATCAAATCAGGTAGCAAATCGGATTGAATTGGATTGCTATCCGAAGAGGAATGGTTCAGGGTTAGAGGTCAAACCGCGGCACAAGTTGGAGCAATCGCTATAGCTCACGTTTCTCCATAATTGCTAAATAATTGTAACGATCGAGAAGAACATGATCTTGTCTAAAGGAGGAAGAGTACACTGGAAATGCTTTTCTTAAGACTACCTTTGAAAGGTACATATTTCATTATGTTTCAGTATCACAGTTACTACAGTACATCAATTCAAGTACATCATTGTGTTTAACATTTCAGTAAATTTTGAATATGAATGAACTAATAACTAGAAATCAATTTAGTATATGGCGAAGAAAATTTAATTGAAATTGCCTATTCATTGCGTCCATCGGGATTAGAACCATCGGGATTAGAACCATCAGGATTAGAACCATCGGGATTAGAACCATCGGGAGTAGCAACGTCGGTAGCCCCCTCTTCGTTTAAACTTGTGTCCACATAGAACTCATCGTCTTCCGAAACATCTTCATCGAACGGTCCAAGTGCGCCCGAAGTTGGTAGTTTGTTCATTTCGCACAGGATACGCTGGCAGCCGCGAGCTCCAAAGCAATTCCCACCGAGATACACGTAACGTAGATTTTCCTTATTCTTCAGGGACTTGACTACAGCTAGGCCGCCGTCCACACAGATATGATTGAATCCCAGATCGAGGAACTCCAAGTGAGTTAGATGATTTTCTAAAGCCTGGCTCAGTTGGAAGGCGCCTTTGTTGCCAATTAAGCACTCGCCAAAATCGATTTCACGCAACCTATAAATAAATATATGTTTTAGAAAAATTTTCTATAAGCTATATATAAAAGCTGCACTTACATTGTCAACTGCGGCAGAACCAAGCAGATGTCTTCCAATCCTTCGCATAGTGCGTTATCGTTCATATTAAAGACGCGCAGCTGTAAGTTCTCCGCCAGGGCCAAGGCTAGGGAACTAACACCATCGAGAAAGATATCGTTTTGCTTGAGATCGATAACCTCAAGGGTTTTCAGGACTTTGAATGCCTCGGACAGTTCGGTGCATCCTTCGGTCTCCATACAGTTGTTGCCCAGAGTGATGGTGCGTAGCTTCAATGGAGTATTCTCTTTCTCGGCGTTTTTATACAATTGGATCAGGGAACGGGCAAGCAAAACGGTTGCGTGGGGCATCAGACTGCAGTTCTCCAGGCGTAGCTCCTGGAGCGTGTAGCATGCGCCCGACCGGATGATGGCATCCAATCCGTTGAAGCAATCAGTTCCGAGATTATTCATGCTCAGATCCAGAACAGTTAGTTTGATTGAGCCGTACATTAAGCTATTGGCCAGGTGCTGTAGGCTCATAAGTACCTCAGTCCTGGTGCGACAATTGAAGAGATCACGCCATAGGGCAGAACGCAACTCGGGATGCTGCTTGAGGGCTTCGCCAATAGCCTCTGCTGCCTCCACTCCGAGTGTATTGCCTTCCAAGTCCAGTTGGTGGACAATGGGCAGATTGTTCAAGGCATCAACCACGCCCTGAACATCGATGCTCGTATTCCAGACCATTCTTTTATCCTTGAAGCTAACACATTTCTCTTGGACACTGGACATCGTTTTAGATTTAGCTTAAACGGTTATCCTTAGACGCGTTTTGTTCGGCGATTTATCACTGTATTATTTACTAGTTCCGTTTTCACTAAACTCTTTTTTGAGCTAATAATACCAAAAATAAAATTTGCTAACAAAATATATAAAATTCCAAACGTAGACAAGTATAGAGATGTAATGGGGTTTCAGAGTTCTACACGATTAGGATATGAAACTAAAGTTTCTCATGGCTATACTGATCTTAAAAATTTTGGGTTGACATTTAAAACTCTAAACTAGTGGTACTCTTAATTTTATAAAGTTTGTTAAAAGCATTTTTAGACGAAGGCCAGCTTGAGACGAAACTAGTAGAAATAATTGGCGTTTTTAAGAAGGTCTTTTGAAATTCGCTTTTCATATGAATTATTGTGTCGCATCCTTAAGATATGTCCTTGTTTCTGACAATACATAAAATTACTTATAAATTTGTTTGTCTTTTATTGAATTTTAATTTGTAGAGGTAAGTTACCATTGTGAAGATAAACCAAGATGAACCCTCTTTCATATTTAAGGTGAAACATTTTCTTCAAATTCATTTGTCTTGTCCTTAAGATATGTCTTTGCTTCTGAAAATAAATAAAATCTTTTGTAATTTAATTTGCATTTTATTTCATTTTAATTTTTAGAGGTATATAGAGGCGCTTTTCAGCCAAAGCTTGTGAGCAAAAATAGTTATAAGAACTGCATTATTAGGAAACTTTTTCATGGGGTTTATCAGTCTTATCCTTAAGAAACTACCTTATTTTTGGTAAAACATTTTTTTGGTTGTCTTTCATGACATTTTTAAAAGGTCTTATTAAATTTGAACAAATCTTACAAGGTGCCCTCTAAATAGAGCCAGTTTCTTTAACAAATATGTAGTTATTATTTCATAATTTGTAAAAAAGACATAATATTAAAATATATCCAACCATATTAACCCTTTTCTTAATAAAATATGAACAAATTTTGCGATTCTCACCAAAATACATAGCTGGAAGCTGGAAATCCCAACCGAATTATGCGTAAATGTAACCAAATTGTACTATTAATTTAATTGGTATTAAATTCATCGTCGGGGTGGCCAAATTCTATCAATAAAATAGTTGAATTTTCACACACAGGCACACACCTACCAGCCACCAAATGATGCCGAGAGGTCAGGGGTCGGAGGTTGAACGCATTTGCAAATTAAGCATGAAGAATGGAAAATCGCAATAGAAATACCATGCCGCAGATCAATTGGATAGCCATGTCTATGGGAAAATTCGAGGGAAAATGCCAAAAATTCGCTGGATGAGCCGCGAAAAATGGAAATAAAATTAACACACTTCAAATTGGTAGCACGGGTGTTGGTGGGCAAGGGCGAGGGAAAGGGAAAGGAAAAGGGGGAAGGGGAAGGGACAGTGCAATAAATAAAGCGCAGCGAAAGTGCGACATCAACGACAAAATAACAATCCTATAAATCACTTATTGCCAGTCAGTTGGGTGGTTGGGATGGTGGAATCATGGGGCATTGCATGGTTGCATGATGGCAGGGGTGGTGGTGGTGGTAGTTGGGATATATCTTTAGGATACATAGATGTGTATGTTGTTTGCCCGTTGATAAATTGCGCCGTGGCACACACGGGAAACAAAAACAAAACAACAATGATAACTGCAGATACATCGCACAGTTCTATGCATCTGTCAGATACGCAATTTCATTTACTAAATTGCACCGAACGCATTCGAACGTAACTGAGATTTTTGTTCTCTTTTTGCTGTTTTGTTGTTTTGTGTTTTTCCTGTTTCCCAAGTGCGGGCGTGACTGTGCTGGGCGGGACCTTTAATTGACGTCGACAATTAAAACAGTTGAGATACTTGTATCTGGCGGATACGATGTTGCTAAGGCAACAAGTGGTAGCCGAAATGTTGCCAGCCGGAAAACTCTCTGGCTTGAAGTTTTTCCACTTTTCGAATTCTTTGCCAGCCGATGATCTCATAGAAGTGCATTTTCGAAAAGTCGAAAAAGTGTGTCTTGGAGCGTAGCAGCATGTTGCAGACTTCGAAAGGATGTTTCTTGTTGCTTAAACAGTGGGTTGCAGGACTAAGATTTAATTTAAAAACCGGTTTGTATTTCTTACAAATAAAAAGAGAATAAATAATATACAAACAACATTAGAATAGTAAGTTATAATTATTAAAAAGAGTATAAAGCCACTAATATGCCTGCCACAATTGTAACATGGTAGTTATATCGTTTTAATGGGCATTCTGAAAGACTGTTGACAAACTTAAAAAATTGAGCAACATGAGGGCCAGAAATGCGACACCAGTCGCTCGTAAAAATGATGAAATAAAGTGCCCCCCAGTTTCTCCAATTCTCGGCTTCTCCAGTGACATTTGACCTTACCAGAAAAAGCCTAACGGTATCCACTGTGCGTCATGTTCTCTTGCTTATTGGGTCGCTCTCGCTTGGCAACAAGTCGCGGCCGCATTCGTCTGGCAACATGTTTCGGCATCTTAGTTGCTATGAAATAATTAAAAGAAAAAATTATAGATTATCTTACTATTTTTCCACCAAGAATTATACTTTACCAGTGTATATTTTCTATTTGCATCCGATTTTCGATCCGAAATTCTTCCTTCATAGCCGATCCGTTCTTAGTTTACTGTCTTGTCAACATGCCTCGGCAACTTTGTTGCCTCGCAAGTCCGCTCTCGCCGCCACATGCTGTCGCTGCCGCTGCGCTCACTTCACAGTGGGCCTCGGCCGAGTATAAAAGCAAACTTACCCCATAAAAAAAATTTTATTAATCGAAATATTCCGAATCTAACAACAACGCTGGCACTCTTGGCCGCATCCGTTGACGTCTTTTAGCGTGCTGTTAGCCGATCGACAAATATCCGGGAGTTTCTCAAAAGAATATAAAAAAAAAAAAACCAAAAGAGACTAAAATATTTTTTGTCGAATAAAGCGAATTTCCTAAATTATTTTTCGCTTTTTTTATCGCGTCGCGTACGCGTACGTGGTCGTGAGTGTGTGTGTTGGTGTGCCAGTTAAACAATAAAAAATTGGTAATAATATTTATTTTGCCCTACTAAACAAAAAAAAACGGAAAAACGGAAAGAAAAACATGAAAACTTAAGAAATTCCGGACAAACAACCAAAAATAAACTGTCGGCATTCTTGGCCAATTGTTGTTGTTGTGGTTCTCTTTTTTTTATAAACTTTTTTTTAGCGTGTGACAAAAAAATATATGAAAAAATAAAGAGTGTGTCATTTGGCTCTCCCGCTCAAATGCCTGGGTGTTGGTTTTGTTATTATGGTTTTTAATTTAATAATAATTTTTTTTTCCACCTTTTTTTGGCGCTGAGTCACGTGCAAAAGTTCAAATCAATTGTTGGCCCGAAAAACGAAAACTTTGGAGGAAAAATGCTCTGCATGGAAAACTCAAAGTGCATTCCAACAGAAACTACAACAAAAAAATACAACAAAAAATGCAGTCTAATAAAAAAACATTACCAACACAGCGGAGAAAAAAAAATGAAAAAAACAGGTTTTTGGAACCGCTTCGCTTATGACGCTGCTGCCAACTTTGTTGTTTGGCTTATACTGTACAGTGAACCCTAAAAGTTGACTATCAGAAGAGCATAATTCTAAAAGTTTGACATCTGAGGAAAAAAATCAAAATTTGGGGCCAGTCTTTGATGTAAAATAAAATCCATTTTTTTGACCTGTGGCAAATTGTCTGAGAAAAGTTAATTAATTTTGGTGAAGCCGAGCAATGTGGGTTGTCCGAAAAGTTTTAACCTTATTTAGGCATTGGACCAAAAGTGTTATCAACTAGCTGGAAACTTTTATCAAACAATTTTCATCCGAAATTCATAAAGTTTTCTAAGCTTTCACTTTGATCTAAAGTATTTCTGAAGTCCCCATAAAAAAAGTAGTTGTTTCATTTAATTTTAGTTCTTGGTCAAATTAAAAATATTAAATCATTAGCCATCATTTAACTCTCTTTGGCTATTCCCAATTAAAAGTTTAAATTTCAAATCAAATCATTTGATTTTGGTATTAATTATTCAAGAATATTAAGTGGGAAAAACTTTTCAAGTTTTGGCAACTTGAACACATTTTCAAAATTAACACATCAACTCCCGCTACTCTTCGCTGGTAAAAAAGTTTGTGACATTATAATTAGCGTTTTTGAAAGTTTATGAATATTTTAAGTCTACTTCCGTGTAGTTTGTTAGACGAAAAGAACAACTACCAACGAATATGGCCAAGAATAATTCGCGTGCCGCCGTATGTGGCGGTGTATGAAGGCGTTTCTCAAGTAAAAAGTCAAGGCCTGCCCCAAATATCGATTACCCAGCGGTAACAATAGTAATAGCCGTCAGCTAAATGAGTAAGGCGGTAAGAAAATACCCCTTAAGTGGAAGTGGGTGGCGATTGTACTTAGAACAAGAGGGAAATGAGTTCAAGACAGTAAAGGGTAGTCAAAATAAATGTTTTTAACAGAAATTGGATGTAGTATTTAAAGGATAACTAATTTTAAAAATATGGCGACCGTGACATAAGCTTGTCATTTGTGACAATTAGCCTGTTTGTTGAATCCTACAGATCTTAAAAAAAAGAATTCTAAAATACAATAAACTCTTACCCTTACCTAGTGATCACTGTACCTTAATGCTCATTGCAGTCCAAGGACATTAAGCATAGGTGCAACTCCAGTGCGTAGAAATGAGATGGGGCTAACAAGCGAGCGATATCAAGCTTGAGTCACACTCGCTCTCCCGCTTTTTCTCTCTTGCCACAAAAGCACAAACACAACGCCCCAACAAACCGCTAATCTAAGGTGAGCAGAGCACCTCTCTTTGCGATAGAGATACATAGGCGAGAGACCTCCACCTCTCTTATCTGTCTGACCCAATCCAACAAGATAACGATCCACAGAAAACATGGAATTTATTGAAAATATTAAATATTAAGAATGAGAGGGAACTTTATTTAGGCATGCAGGTCCAGGTCCCCCTTTCCTGCCACAACACTCATACAGATACATATATATCGCTTTGTCTGGCTCTGTGGCGACGTGTTTCGACTGCTGAGAGAGCCTCAATTTCCGTTACAAAAGTGGCAGCGACATGTGCGAAGAAGGCTAAAAAGAAGAAGAAGAAGCAGAAGAAGCGGCTGTGGAGAAGCAGGTTTTCTTGGTTACTTCGAACTGCCAACTTTTTTTTTTTAGAATGCAAAGACAAAGCCAAAACTCACACTAGCAGTATAGTATCTCACTCTCGCCACCGAAATAAGTCGTGTGTGACGCTTCTGCCGGCTTTTGCCTCATAAATGCCAGTATTTGCCATTTGAATATCAGACGTTAGTGGTATGTGGTATTATGGGCCAAACAATGCACTTTATGAGGATCGTTTGTGAAAGCTGTCTTAGAGAAGATTAAAAAGGCTAACACTCAAGGCTTCCATTAAAGGTTTACAGCTAAGCAGTGGAGTTATGGCTTAAACTAAAAACAGGGACAATAATAACAGAACTACTATAATTTTTTTTGTTAACAAATTATTATTTTCTCAAAAAAAAACCATAAAAAGAACAAACCTTATACGTTCCCGAATTAAATCTAATCTCTTTAAGATTTTGTATGATATTTTAAAAATATTTTTAACAGAAACTAAATGGAATTTCTATAATTTCTTAATCGTTGCAGATTTTACACACACCTGGAGAAACAGCAGTATCTAGACCGGCATAGAACTATCTAAAAAGTGTTAATAATTAATAATAATTTGTGCAATCAAAAAGCGAACAAAAAATACAAAAACGGACTGATAATTTTTTGAAAGATTTTTTTTTTCGTGTAAAATTGTAAACAAACCAAAGAAGTTTAAAAAAGAGAGCCGGTCGTAATTTTTTGTCGGTGAACGGAGACAGAGAAAAACGATAAAGAAAATGCGAGAACTGCCCGTCTTGGCGCTGCTCCTATGCAGCTGTTCGCTAATAGGTGAGTGCCAAACACGTTCCACATCCACCAGATACTTTTCTATCTATAATCACAAAATTAGAAATAGCAACCTGCAGTCGATGCAGAAATAGAGCTACAAAACGAAAACCAATTTAATGATGAAGATGGAAGTTTTATAGGGGAATCAAACTTTTAGGGAAGTTTAACTGGATAGAAGAGGATTAGAACTAGTGCCTTAGCTTTGAAAAACTAGTATCTAACTTGTATTAAATAACCAGAATTCTTCTTAAATGTAGGAAATTAAACTTTTATTAAAGCTACCTTTAGCTTTAAAAACAACTATCTTTTAGTTTTTAGTGAGTGTTAAGCTTTAAATTCGCTTAAGTCATAATGACCCTCAAAAAACCCTATTTTTTCCATTTATAATCCCAGAAAAATAGCAAATCATTAGGTTATACACCCCACATAGTGGCATTGTAACGAAAGTCATCCATTTAATCCCCATGATTTTCCCTAAGTCTTCCAACTGACTCGACTAAAATCCGTTTATCAGCAGCATTCTCCGCATATCCAGTTATCATATATGTTCTGAGTTCCTGAGCTCTGGACAAGTTACCTGAGTACTTGGCAGTTACCTGATGCCAAAGGCGACCCTGAAACCAAGACACTCAGCAAATAGACAAAAAAAAAAAGAAAAACAAGAAATAAAAATAACACTATCCCAAAATCATGTTCCTTATCGCCGCAATCCTCTGAAATTTTAGAATCAATATTTGTCTTACGCCATAACACAGGGACTATATAAGAATACTATCCGAATCTGGACAAATATCATATATTTTTTTTGGGCTAGCATGGCAGATTAGGCCTCTAGAAAATTACATAGGCATTTGGCCAGATACACAGATACTATCACAGATACAGATAGGCTAGCGTCATTTGCTTAGGCAAAGATCTGAGCACCTGACTTTGGGGACCATAAAAGTATCAGAGAACGCTGATTACGCAAGAGGAGTCTGTTGCCAAGAGGCTAGACTACAAAACCAATAGCCCCAAGTATTTTTTACCAAAAAGAAACTCAATTATTTAAATGCCAGAAGAGAACAAAATATTGGAGTTTATTTCCAAAAAAAAATGAAAAATAAAATACAAAAAACAAAAAATTCCGCTTCCTTCGGATGTTCTGGACTTAATACGTAAATTAGGAGGATCAGTTAGTTATTCTACGACGATGCCCACTCCATAAATGGTACAGAATGTACGATAATTCATCCTGGCGCTGAGGATCAAGCTCATGGGCAACGGGTAGAGATGCTTATCGCAAGTGACACTGATAAAGCAACGGGAATCGATGGCGCCCCGGAAATTCAGGGTGTATTGGGGCCTGGCCAGGTGGCAATAGAGCTTGGCAAGGACCGAGTTCTTCTTTTTAAAATTGGCGTTGATTTGGGTGCCAACTCGCACGCAGCTGTTGAAGGTGTGGGCGTAGGTCACCTTAGTGGATTTCGAGTTCAAGGTAGCCAATAGCACGGCAGGACCAAGGGTATAACGACCCACGAACGATAACTGATTCGGTTTGTTCCCCGGCTGCACGAGGAGGTCCCAGCCAAGGTCCAGCCGTTTAGTGATGCGCTTCAGATACGAGGTCACAAAGTAGCCAGTATTTTGGTGCGGAACCACGTCGCTTAGAACACAGGACCAGGTATAGTCCCTGCCCATGTGGTCGATGGCCATCTGATAGTGCTGCAATCCTTCGGAAATGAATGACATATTGCTCTTGAATCGCAAACGATCGGATAAGTACTTGGTCATTCCCACATAGAATCCACTGCGGCTGTCCATATGCACAAAGTACTCGGACAAACAATCCCCTAAAAAAGGATTACTTAGATTTGAAAGCGATATCGTTATCGTAAACCTACCTGTTAACGGATGCAAATCAGTATCGCAAATGTAAGTAAAGTTGAAGCTGTACCGGTTCTTAGAACCCTTGCCCATTTGCAATTGGTTGCCCAGTAGTAGTTGAGGGTTCACGAATCGGTTGGACATTATGCGGAACCCATCAAAACACACAGGGTGCGTCATGCGTTCCACTTTATCTAAATCCGATACGTTGCCAGGATTATCTCCAAAGTTCTTCATAACATCTATTTTGGCCGAGTCGTCGGTTAGCTCCTCCTGATGAGCTTCGCCCACATAGTTAATGCATTTCAACACAAGATTGCGCTTTAGCTTTTCGTTTTCGGTTTTCTGGTTAGAATGAGTATTACCCATGATGGAAATTGATGATAGATCTGTGAAGAAAATATAAATACAAGTTAGTCAGTAAAACATAGTCAGGGTGCCTAATCCATAATTCATTCAATTTAATAAGCTGGCAAACTTCTGAGACACAACTTTAGAGAAGAAGTCAGTCTAAAGTCGCTTCCCAGCAATTACCGCATCCGGTTTAAGACCCCAGCCTAGTCGGATGCCTCCCAAAGTCGAATTTAATTAACGTGTATTCTCTATTAGAAATTTAAGAGAGTGACTCAGCTGATAGATCATATAATAATGGGGTTTCCCCCTCCAGAGAAGGAGAACCGAAAGGAAAACTGTCCGGGAAAATGCTCAAGAAAGATCTTTGGTTGGAAAAAAAGAAGAAAAAGTTGGCACTTTGCCGCCTCACTTTTGTGGTCAGTTTTATGCTCTAATTTTGTGCCGTAAACTTAAAAGTTTTTTATGTTGTCGCCGCTCTGCTTTTTGTGCCTTAGTTGCCTTTAAAAAAAATAAACGGCAGCTTGTTCCATATTTTCCCCCTCGCTGTGTGTTGCAAGAAAAAACACTTTGAAGAAAAGCTCAAGAGTGAAAAATTATAAAAAGTACAAAAAAAAAAAAAAAATGGCAGGGAAAAAGACGGAGGACAGTCCTAATTAGCTAAGCCCGAAACTGGCTTAATTGGGTGCTGCTTTCACTTTGGCCATCATCGTTGTGCCTGGGAAAACTGTCTAACTGACAGTTAGTCATACTATTAATGGACGATGAGGGCTCTACGATGAATGGTCAAAAAAAAAAATTAAAATAAAAAAACAAAATGTCTAGAGGAAGGGGGTTCGAAGTGGAAGAGTCCTCTTTAGGGGTCTTGAGAGTCTTCTTTACTTTGTTGAAACACAAAACCAAAGTTTGTTTGTCTTTAAAAAGAGGAAATAGTGATATAATTATCTTGAATATAATTCTAGAGATTCTTTAGAGTCTATGAAATCAGACCTTATCTAGAAATCATAATACCCTCTATAACGACCAGATTCCAATGAGGATTCCCTCTTGAGGGGTTTATAAACTCCATTTAGTATCTTAACTTTGATTCTCTGAACTGAGGACATTCTTCGAATTCTCTGACTCATATCTCAGAGGAGACTTCTCACGCTTCCCAGCTTCTCAATAGTTGGGGAGATGGGGGTATGCACCGGTAAAAAGAGACGGACTACATGGGGAGACATCAGGTTTGGACTCAAGTTGTGTTCCAGAATGGGAGAAGGGAGACTCTGAAGACTCTGCAACCGAGACCGAGACTGAGAATGGAAGCTTTATGGTCAAGCGGGCAACTCGTTGAGTACTTGTATCTTGTCTTTTGTGCCACTTGACAAGACAAAGATGGAGTAGAACGAGATGGGCAGAGAAAGAGATGGAAGCAGAAGACAGGAAAAAGGAAATTCCAATTATGTTCCTAAGACTCTGGGCTTTGCGTAGAAAAGAATTGTTGCCGCTTGCTTTTTTCTTTCTCTTTTTAGACATTATTTCTATACTATACTTTTATTTTTTTTTAAATTTTAATCCAGTAAGTCAGGCATTCTCTTTAATTAATAAAACAAAACATTTCGGTGGAGAAAGAAAAACAAAAGGATTCAAGTGGATTGCAGCCGCGATAATGAGACAGGCCAGCTATATTTATTTTCTCTCCACCCCAGATATATGTACTATATGCATCGCCCGGGTAGATCTTTATTGGGGGGACTTGATCCCAAAAACTTGCGCATAATTAGCTCGCATTGTGGCATGTAGCGCCCCATCCATCCCACCACCCATTTAAATTAACTGCAAATGAGCCAGAAAAAAACCAGACCAAGCCCCCCAAAAAAACAAAGATTCTTTTACATTTGTCGGTTAACCAACATCCCCCCTTTTTATAAATCACACACAAATAAAATATGTGAAAACTTTCTGGGGAAAAACAACTCAGCGGTAAAATATGAAAGTAAAATTAATTAAGAAAAAAAGAAAAAGAGTTGAATTGAATTAGTGTGAAAAATATGGCAAGATATGAAGTATGCATTCGCTTTTCTTGAATTTAATTGTGCATTTTTGTGAGAGTTGAGCAAAGGAGAAGTTTTTAGAGACCCGCATAATCCCCACATGAAGCTTATGAACAATGAGATGCATACCAAGATGCATACAATTTAACCAAAAAAAAAAATAAATAAATAAAAAATATGTACAAGAATGCAGTGAAAATACAAATGAAGGAGCCCCCTTGGCTTGGCTTTTCTTCCAAGTATGATGAATGAATTTTAAATTAAAATTCAGACGAAACACACAAAACTGATTAAGCCACATGTGTCCCGAAACGAATTGTGAAACCCAGGTCCACATTCCGCTTACCACCCGCATGGAGCTGGGGCTTCAAGAAAAAAAAAGAAGTAGGGTTACTAGTTTCAGAGAGGGTTCTACACTTACCAGCACCCTGGAAAATTTTAATAGTTAATTTTCAACGCAAGGAAAATATTTAAAAATATTCTACAGTTTAAAAAATATGATAAATAAAGTTCTAACTATTAAGACTGTACCCTCAGAACATCCCTGGTTTATTTAAAAAATTCCATTGGCATTTTGCAAAACAAAAACCTGTTGAAGAAATTTGAAGAAAGATCGACAAAGATTTGATGGCCCTCGAGACAGGAAGCTCCCCACCTGACTTTTAGTACGTGATGGGCCTAACAACGAGCCAAAATTGAGCTATAACCGGTGGGTCCTGCGATGTGATTTGGGATTTCTTTAGGCCA